TGACCTTATCTGAGAATCACTTTATCTGCCCTTCCATTCTAAATGAAAGCTTTGCTGGATAGAGCAATCTTGGATGTAGGTCCTTGCCTTTCATGACTTTGAGCACATCTTTCCAGCCCCATCTTGCCTGCAAGGTCTCTTTTGAGAAATCAGCTGACAGTCTGATGGGAACTCCTTTGTAGATAACTGCCTCCTTATCTCTTGCTGCTTCTAGGATTCTCTCCTTCATTTTTACCTTGGCTAATGTAATTATGATGTACCTTGGTGTGTTCCTCCTTGGGTCCAACTTCTTTGGGACTCTCTGAGCTTCCTGGACTTCCTGGAAGTCTATTTCCTTTGCCAGATTGGGGAAGTTCTCCTTTATTATTTGTTCAAATAAGTTTTCCATTTATTGCTCTTCCTCTTCCCCTTCTGGTACCCCTATAATTCGGATGTTGGAACATTTAAAGAATGTCCTGGAGGTTCCTAAGCCTCTCCTCATTTTTTTGATTTCTTATTTCTTCATTCTTTTCCAATTGTATGTTGTTTTCTTCCTTCTGGTCTACTCCATTGACATGAGACCCAGCTTTCTTTCCATCACTATTGGTTCCCTGTGCATTTTTCTTCATTTCACTTATTGTAGCCTTCATTTTTTTCATCTAATTTGCAACCAAAGTGAACCAATTCTGTGAGCATCCTGATCACCAGTATTTTGAACTGTGCATCTGATAGGTTGGCTATCTCTCAGTCGCTTAAAAGTATTGGTTCTAGGGCTTTCATTTGTTCTTCTGTTTGAGCCATCTTTTTTTTTTTTTTTTTGCCTTGTCGTATCTGTTACGTATGAGAGGCGGAGGCTTACGTGTTCACCAGGGCGGGGCAACCCAGTGTCCAGGTTGTGACGCTGTATGTGGGGTGGGGTCTGAGAGGGAACAATGGTGCTTGCTCCACTCTCTGTGGGACTTCAGTCCCTTCTGCTGCTTCCCCCAAGCAAAGTGGGCCTTTCTGGTGCCAGTTCCCATGTGGGTGGGCTTGTGCAACCTGTGCATCTTTCCAGCAACCTCTCCTGGGAGGCTGGAAGTCTCTCCCTGTGCGTCAACCCCCACAGGTGTTTTCAATCAGTGTCCCAAGGGTCTATTTCCCTGCGCTGGGACCCTGGGACCACCCAGTCAGCCAGCTGCCTAGTGCACAGTGCCTGGCTTCACAATCTCTGCCTCCCTGTGTCTGCCAGTTGCCACCCCTTGGCCAGGGTCTGTCAGTTGCCGCTTGTGAACCCAGGGTCCGCCCACTGCGGTCTTGCATGCCAGGGATGCCTTACACTGGTCCCAATGGTCTTCGTTTCACATCCTCTCTCCTTGTTCCTCAACCTCTCTCTTCTCAGCTGCCCAGCTCCGCCCCTCCTACTGGTCTGGATGAATGTGTCTATTTGAACTCCTTAGTTGTCCTACTTCCATACAGTTCAATATGTCAGTTCTTCCATACAGTTCAGTTGTCAGTTCTGGTTGTTATTCTGTTTCTAAATTGTTGTTGGCCCTATCTTGGTTGTGTGAGGAGGCACAGTGTGTCTACTTATGCCTCCATCTTGGCCGAAAGTCCTGTAGATTAATTTTTTAAGAACTCAAACCATTGCCTTCTCCATGAAGCATTCCTTGTTACTCTGAAGTTGAGACTCCTCCCCCTTGCACTATGTTCCTTTACTACTTTGTTCATATCTTTATTATTTATAAAATTATAATATAATTATTCATTGATATGTCCACTGTTTTAGTAAACATGTTGTCTGCCTAGAATACTCTTCCTGAAGATCTGCCTTCCCCCCAACCTCCTGAAATACCTTCCATCCTCATCCCCAATCCTATGTTAGCCACCATCCATATAATTACATGGAGAGCTCTTGTTTTTATGTCATGACCAGGACACCCTGTCCTTCTTGACTAGGCATCTGAATCAGGTAAGGCCAGTTAGTCTCCTCCCTGTGAACTCAAGATTGAGATAGATTGAAGATGAAAGTGAATTAGAATAAGGGAAGAACAGAGATTCAAGATTGAATTTAATTTCTAGTTCCAGATTGTTGAGGAAGACTGTGTCCATTCCTTGGGCTTCCAGGTGGCAGCCCTGTTACCTATTAAATAATCCCCCCCACAAGTTATCTTGATTGCATTTCTATCACTTATAACCATAGAGTTCATACATCCACTATGAATTCAAGGGCCTTGCCTTGGCCATCTTTGTATATACAGCACTTATCCTAGTGACATAACAGTACTATATAGATACAAAATAGATACTAGATACAAAAATATTTGTGGAATGAATCAATGAATAAAGGATGAAAGGAAGAAAAGAAAGTAGGAAAAAGTGATGAGAGGTTTAAAATGAGAGAAGAGAAACAGAAATAAATTTTAAAAAATTGAGGCAAATAGAACTGGACCGAGAGAGACAGAGGCAGCAAATGATCTTAAAACAGCAACAAAAGAATAATGAAGAGCATGATCTAGGGCATGAAGAGCATGATAAGAGCATGAAAATGTTTGGCTGTCTTGCTTTGGCTCTGCTTTCCTAAGCTTGTCCAACCCTTCCCCCTTGCTTTCACTTTTGTGCATTTGTCTCAGAGTTGGGTGGGAGGGTCCAGCAGGGAGCCCCGGTATCTCAGAGTACCCTTGCCTAGGCACTCACTGTTTCCATGAGGTCTTTTGAATACAGCCCACATAGTTACAACAAAATAATTCAGCTCCCAGTGGCAGCCATAGATGTCTAGAACTAAGTGAATCTAGAAAACATGGCCTAAAAGAAGTAGCACAAACAGATGGATCCAGACTGAAGAAGGTTATGAAAAAAATTAGATGGGAGAAGTGAAAGATAGTAAGAATAACTCTCAAAAGCAGAGGGAAGCTGTGGTAAGAGCACACTGTTACACAGTAGGAAGTTTGGGATATGTATATATAAAGAGTAATTCCTATGTGTCAAGTTTTCTATTAACTACTGCTAGTCCACTACTCAATTACAAACCAACATTCTCTTTATCCTTGAACTGTATGACATAGAGTTACTGTGTAAATAAAATGTTTCATTGAAAAACCCCAAACATACCATTTTCTCTCTAATTTCCATTTGCTTCTATTATTTCCCAGTTGTTTACCACCACGGGCTCTCCTCCATCCACCTTCCTTCAGGAAAAGTTTATCTCTCTAGGGACTTGTCATAGGATTAAACTTTGATTTCACAGAGGTAGTAGGATCTATACTCTGGTATTCACCGATATTGTGCAGCTTCTGGAGCTCTTTTCCCTGATTCGCTCTCATCCCTAACCCCATCCTCCTTTGAGAAGGGCTATTGCTGGAGCCAGTAATCCTTCTCAAGCAAAAACCTGATCTCGCCATTACCTTGCCTATAACATTTCAATGTTTTCCCATTGTCTGTGGAATAAAGTGCAAGTTTGAAAACATAGCCTAGAAAGCTCTCCATGATCTGGCATCTGCTTATCTCTGTAGCCTTGTCTCTCTATTCTTCCAGCCACTCACACTGCCATCCCCAAGAAAAAATCCTCCAGCCATAATGAGCTTCAAATTCTTTGAATTGACATGTTCCTTCTTACTTTTGGCTTTGTCTCTATGTTATACCTCCTGCTGGAAAATTCTTTCTCCTCCTAGTCTCCTGTTCCAGGCCAAATTACATTCATTCTTCAGGTTTCAGTGTAAGGGTCTCTTCCTCTGGGCTTCGCGTACACTGCCTTCCATGTGTGCTGCCTTCCATCTGAGCATCTAGTTTTAGCAGCCTGTTTGCTTGTCTGTCCCCCTGCTCAGCTTGGTGAGGTTGAGGATGTTGACTTTCTGATTAACTCTTGAGTCTCTAGCATCTAGTGGTGTCTTGAACTAACAAGCCTTCAATAAATATTGGCAGAATGAATAAGAAGGCCAGAGTCTTTGTACTAACCTCCCTTTACTCCTCTTTCTATGTCATCTAAGCTGGTCCTTGCAATAATTTGATGAGTTTATCTTCTAGTACCCACTTCCTGCCCAATAGAGAAACCTGACGATTCTAGTAGGTATTCTTCCCCCTGCCCCCCAACCTTCAGATTAGGGGCTGTCTGATCAATCTTTTACAGGTATTTGCATGATCAGGGCTGTGTAGTAAATCGGTTGCTTCTCATGTGAATTCCTAGCATCCTTTATGCCTCTAACCTACTCCATAAATATATAGTATATGGATAGGTGAATGAATGAGTGGAATGCCATTTAACTAGTCACCTTCCACATTCCCAGTAGGGATTATGCCACTCCAGCTCCTGCATATTAGTGATACAGCAACGTTTTCACGGATCCTCTTGCATCATTATGTTTAAATTACTCAGTATGCTTTGCCCATTGCCGGTTCGCTCACCATTAGAACTTTCTGAGTACATCCACCTGTTCCTTTCCAGAAATTCGGCTTGGGAGCTGCGTCTCTCCTAAGTGAGAATGGAGGCTCAAAGCATGCTCAGTAACCAAAGCCCGGTGTAATGAACTGTTCTGGCCCTGACTGGGAGCTCTGACAGGTGGCAGGTATCGACAATGCTGGCAAAAGGGACTTGTCCTGTCTTGTACCGCTGAACATGTTTCCCCCCTGAAGCCAGTCTAACGTCCTGGCAACTTAAGTGTAGACACTGGGGACATCTTCGTTTTAAAAACAATAAAACAGAAGGAGTTATTGTGAAAAATTAAAATGACTGGCAGGAGATTCTCAGTGCACAATCTACATGAATGTCAAGTGTTAAAGTGATGCTGTGGTTAAGACAAATATTGACGGAGGCGGGGATGAATGGAAGTACGTTGAACCTCGTTGGGCATATCAAGATTTTTAAAAGGATTTTCTGAGATTGCCCAGCCCCAGAATTTCAAGGACCTGAGTCGCTGCCTCTTGCCTAAGAGAGAGACTCTGGGGGAGGTGTGTGCGTGTTCGCGCAAGCGGAGGGCAGGCTCGGAGAGGGGCCCACGCTCTCGCGAATCAACAGCAGGGGGAGAAGGGAGCTCGGCGAAAGGCCGCGGGAGGGGAGAGGAGTCAAGCTGCAGGGGCAGGGCCGGAGGAGGGGGCCGAGACACGCTCAGGGGCTGGCTGCTGGAGACCCGAAAGCCTGGGCGAAGCCGGAGCGGCTGCCGGGCGGAGCTGACAGCCGACCCCGGGCGGCGCACGCCCCGCCGGAGCCCAGTGCTCCCGGGTCCCCAGCTCCGCACGCCACTCGCGCTCAAGGTAAGGAGGGGCGCGGGGTGCAGCCTTCTCCCAGCGCGGCAGGGCCGGCGTACCAGGTGGGCTTCGGCCTCCCTCGCCCCTCCCGGGTCTGCTCGGCGCGCAGGATTCCTGGTCGGTTGCCCACAGAAACTCGCGACCCTCACCATCCTCGCTTTTACTTAGCTGCGCTTAGGACCCCCGTCTCGTCCCTGCTCTCACTTCCCTTCCCCTCGGGCAGCTCCCGGAACCCCGCACCCGGGTCTCTGGGGGAGGAGGCGGAAGGTCTTCCACCCTCACCAGGTGTGAGGCGTAAACACTGGCACCGGCTTCCGCCCCCCACCTTCCCCAGTCTGCAACGATTTCCAGGTTGAACTCGCACCGCTCCTCTCCTTCCAAAACATACCTGTCCCTGCCTTCTGTAACCATGCTAACTTTGGTAGGTATAGCGTCTTATCTTTTGTATCTGCACCAAACAATAAGTTGAGGGTCTTTGGGAATTAGGGAATTAATTTACTGAAAATCAAATACTGTGATGTTTCTAAGGTTTTCTGGTTGACTGTGGTGCTACAACTTTAGCTTAGAGCAATAGCTCCTAGTCCAGCGCTGAGATCCTGATTCAGAAATGTGTGTGTGTGTGTGTGTGTGTGTGTGTGTTTGTGTGTTCGCAGGTTTCTGTGTATTTGAAAGCACTCTATGTGATTGAGATGCACTCTCTCTTTACAGTCACTTGAAAGCATCAGTCGGATCCGCCTAGGAGGGGGGCGCCCGACTGTTTGTAAGCCTCACCTGGAAATAGTGTGAATAGAGAGAAAAACAAAAACAAAAACAAAAACCAGTGAAAGCTGGTTCCCTTTACGTTGGTGAATTTGGTGGAGTGCCATTAGTTAAGAGATGAGAGTTTCGGGAAGGGGGTGTTAAAGTTCATTTGAAACTCAGATATAGAGTGGGGAGAAATACCACTTCTAAGAGTCCTCATTGAAGAGTTAGCTTTTAAACATCAATTTTAAAAATGTAAGAATTCCTTCACAAGTACTTTGGCTATTAGAAAGAATGAGGCCTAGGCTGGTGGGAATTGGAAAATCTTTCGCATGCTTGCATTGATTGACTTTATGTCAGTGACCGCTGGCATTTTTGCATGTTGGTTGCTTTAAGGCTAGAGATCCAAATGGACTCTCATCTCTAGGAATAGAAGGAGGAATGATCATGTAAATTGATTTGGATCCTGTTTACTTACATTCCTAATTTTTAAAATCAAGCTCTTCTACCATGAATTGGTTGAGTGTCTATAAATTATACTGTATTTGAATTTACACAAAGAACTCTTTCTCCATCTTGCACTTTGTCATAGATGTACATCTGTACATTTGCTTTTTATGTATATCTGTATATGTACCTGAACCATTCTAAGCACACTCTCTGAGTGTAACTGCCAGGGAAAAAAACGATTTTTATTTGTCTTTTGGAAAATTGAAGTGAAGGATTAACTTTGAAAAGTACCATGAAGTGGGTATAATATTAAGCCATACATAAAATGAGATGCTTATTATGAAATGGGGATGATATTTGGTACCTGCTTTCAGGGATTTTAAGTACAAGTAAGAGACTTTCTGTAAAGCATTTTGAACTTTAGGAGTCACTGTCTAGGTATTGAGCCAATGTGCTTGTTTGCCTGGCAAACTTTCTTCTTTTTAAAATTAACTTTCCCTTAGGAAAAGTAGTGCAGATGCACACAATTCAGCTAACCAGGTCCAGAAAATACGGTTTGAATTTTAAAAGTGACCTTAATTCATCCATATAGATCTAATGTTTGTAACATGTGCCACAAAATATGCAGAAGTATTCATTGCTTGCTGACCTTTTCAAAGCATTGGCTTAATGAGGGGAGTTATGGACAGAATACAAATTATATCATGAATTTTGTTGGCTTAGGCAAAACTATTATTATTTTTTTCCTAAGGTTTTTGTGTATGTGTGTGTATACTGGGTCTGAGACTTACATAATTATATACATATATGTTACACATGTTTTTAATGGGAACAAAAACCCGCAATATTTTTCTTTGTGGCAGAACACTGTAAACATTAGGTTTTGATTACTTTTTAATGGAAATTTTAATGTAACAGAACTAAAAAAACTTCAAGGAAATAATTCCATAAAGATCTATTTGGAACTGAAAGTTTTTTAATGAAACACGTTTGAAGCCCTTAGTCTGTGGGCTTCAGATATGTAGAGCAGTCCTTTGTGAGTGGGTAAGGGTGGTAGATCCAATTCTGGCAGCTTCAGACAGTGGATGATTAGACCCTGCCACTGTTCTCCAGACCTTTAATTTGTTCTGTAACTTGATGCTTCACTGACCCTACACTCTCCCTGCCACGCCAGCTCACAGAGGAATTGCTGGCACTCTGGATTGAATTTTTTTCCTTCCCATCAATTAGAACATGTTTGCATTGGTTGCAGAATGTAGTTACATTTTTAGCTCAGCATTCTAAGAAATAACCTTTAGTTATGAAGAGAACAGTCGGAGTGTGGCCTAAATCACAAATTGCCTTATTTAATTGCCATGTTAATTTCCCAATGATTCAACTATGTAGGGATAATAGTCATAGAGTATTAAAATTGGAAGGCACTTTAGAAGTCGTCTAGATTCTAATCATTTGTTTCTACAGATTAATATGGAAGCACTCATAGTCACAATCCATAATTTGACAATATCCATTAAATTTTATATTCTTTCCAGTTCTTGTAGTAATGAGGATTTTGCTAATTTTAAATGGAGTTATATACTCTTTACTGTTCTTGGAGTAATGTGGATTTTGTTAACTTTAAATGGATTTATGTACAAGTTTAATAATGTAGAAATGGCCACAAAATATGTTGCAAATCTCAGCTAGATTTCCAGTGAAACTTGAAGTGTGGTGTTAAAGGCAGTATGAGCCATTCATAAAGGTGGTGAACTATTCTAAACTAGCATCCTGGGTTTTTCATTACAGTAGGCAGCAGGGGTGGGGGGGGGGGACTTCTTCAACTAGCTGACAGAAGTAAAGGAGTGCACTAAGAAAGGTGAGTATAAACAAAAGAGTAAGGTGGTGAGGTTTGTGAAAAGCATAACCTACTAGATCGGCAAATCCTTCAGGAATGGTTGGCCTTTAGACCCCTTCCCAGAGATTTTAATCTGAAATAATGCCAACAATCACTGGAGTTTCTAGTCCTCACTCAACACCCAACTGAGTTAAGGCTTGATTTCAGAAGTCCCACTTGATGTTTCTGTCTTTCAAGATCCTCTGCAGTAAGCCCTGGCTGGCGTAGCTCAGTGGATTGAGCGCGGGCTGTGAACCAAAGTGTTGCAGGTTCGATTCCCAGCCAGGGTACATGCCAGGATTGCAGGCCATGACCCCCAGCAACCGCACATTGATAATTTCTCCCTCTCTCTCTCTCTCTCTCCCTCTCTCTCTCCCCCCCTCCCTTCCCTCTCTAAAAAAAAATAAATAAAATCTAAAACAAAAAGATCCTCTGCAGTAAAAGATCTCTTTGCTCATCATCCTAGTGTTGAAACAGTTTTGTTTTGTCACCAGTTGTAAAAGAATTTATTCTAGTATGTAGGCACCAGAAAAATTGCATCTAATCTTAAGAAAGTACATAGAGGCCTGGCCAGTGTGGTGCAGTTGGTTGGAGCATTGTCCTATAAACCAAAAGGTTACCGGTTTGATTCCTGGTCAGGGCACATGTGAAGGTTTTGGATTCAGGAGCACGTACAAGAGGCAACTGATTTACGTTTTTCTCTTACATCAATGTTTCTCTCCCCCCCAACCCCGAACTCAATGGGCATGTCCTCTGGTGAGAATTAAAAAAAAAAGAAACCATAAACTCCTCAAAGCCCCAACAGGTAGCCATTATTATCCCCTTCACATAGATCTGTGATTCAGAGAAGTTAAGCATTGTGACCAAGGACTCAAAGCATCACTACCAAGGACTCATATCACTTTCAACACCCCATACTGCTTCCCTAACTAGTGCAAGCTGTTGATTGAATCTGTAGATGACAGTATGCTTATTTTGGGGTATCTGACAAATTTCCTAATTCTGAAAGGACTTTATAAAGTCTTCATAAGTGTTTATATTTCAGTTTAAGTGCATTCAGTGTGTGGAGCTTAATATTCTGACATTGATTTATTGATTAAATATATTTAATCCTTAACAGGGATGTCTTTAAAAATATCTTTTCTCAAGCCCTGGCTGGCATAGCTCAGTGGATTGAGTGCGGGCTGCGAACCAAAGTGTTGCAGGTTCAATCCCAGTCAGGGTACATGCCTGGGTTGCAGGCCATGACCCCTAGCAACCGCACATTGATGTTTCTCTTTCTCTTTCTCCCTACCTTCCCTCTCTAAAAAATAAATAAAATCTTAAAAAAATATCTTTTCTTTATATTGCCATGACATTTTGGTGATCCACAAGACATCTATCTCTATTATGACTAATTTGACACACTCTCCATTGCTCTCTACAAGTGATTCTCCAATGTATGCTACCAATTTATTCAAGACTTTTTAGAAACTGTATTGTAGAGTCATCCTGCCAGAGCAAGTGCAAGTTAAAATGTGTATTACTTTGTTAAATTTAGTGTCTTTTATGTTTCCTTTATATTATAGTAAGGATGTTATATTTGTTTGGTTTAGAAAGTATGTATGTAATTAGGCTATATTCTTCTGTGAATTTCATTTCCAGATAGTAAAGAGATAACTTCAAAATACTCATTAAAAATGGGTATTAGTCTGATAGGGTAGAGAGTCATTGCCCTATAAAGAATATTGCTGAATCTGTCACAAATATAACTATGTGGCAGTGAAAGTTTTTCCTTTAGTGTCATGAATTTATACATTTTTATTAGCTTCTTTTGGCTTTGGATTAGCATTGAGCCTTATATCAAAAAGTGAAGAATTGTCTCCTTAAAGTCTAATCTTGAAGCTTCTACCCCAAGAGACAGTCCTTCTACCTGCAGAGGGCTTTCTTTCTCTTTCACTGC